ATTTCTTCTAGCCATACTTCACGAAAGACCTTACTTGCATCGAATGTCTTTAATTGTGTCTCCATCCTTCCTTTTGTTATAATTTTGAGTTGAGCACTCTGACCGCACGCGTTTTGCGTACGCTTACGTCGTTTGTGGCGTTTTGTTCCTGACATTTGCATACGCATGACCTTTCTACTGAATTGCGTGTTCATTGTACTGATCCGAAAACCCTTTCGTCAAATTTCATGGCTATCTGATTAAAATTTACATTGTAAGTTTTGCATACCAGTGTAGATCTGTCTCCTTTTTTTTTTTTTTTTTTTTTTTTTTTTTTTTTTTTTTCGCAATGCACATACGTAGCCTATGTTCTAGAAGAATCATATGTCAAGTATGATAATTTTAAAGGGGTTTATTTTGAGCATTTGAATATTTTTTGGATAGAAACGGAAAATAGCCAAATACAAAAAGAAAATTTTAGATGGTATTACAGTTTAAATTTTATCTTACGCATTCTCCCGCGTCAAAAGAAGGACACACTTGAAAAACAGCTTTTTTTAAGAAAAAAGCAGGACATACAAAAACGAAAACAAAAGTATTTTATGTAACCCTATTAACTATGACAATTCTGATTGAACTTAATTTTTAAATCGCTATCATATAGCTTCGAAAAATAAGGAAAGTAAAGTAAGCATGTAAGATAAAATAGTAAATAAAGGAAATTTCTGATTTAAAATAGCAAGAGGCCTCTATCTTTGTCATTTTAATTTGGACATTTCAACTTTTCTGTCCTAAAAATAGTAACTGCTTATAATATATGAACCAACATAATTTTCATCAGTATCGCCCACTCTGTTCCACGCCATCTACAATACTCAATGCATATATGCCTCTCTCTATCTCTGAATATATATTTGTAGGATAAAAAAATAGGCAAAGCAAATTTCTGATTTTAATCGGTAATAGCCCTTTATATTCTTCAATTTAACTATTTCCCCTTTCTGTTATAAACGTAGCAACTACTTATTATATGAAGCTATTATATATATGAAGCTAAACTACATGATTTCAAAAGATTTAGCCAATCAGAGAATAAGATTTCAATTCCAAATTCTTACATACATTGGTGTGAAAAAATTAAGGACGAAGTCGAAAAATTAGCATATCAGCTGAACGAAGAGGCAGAGCGGACAGAAAGACCAATCAGGAGATTAAGTAAGGTGATATACGGTAGCAAATGCGCAGATAGTAGGTAGACGTAATGGGGGAGTGTCTGAGTAGTATAAAGCATGTTGTCTGTGTAAGATCAGTATTTCTGGCAAAGAGATTGCACGCCGTATAGCAGTTAAAATCACACCGAGTTGCTGCCTCAGCGAGAAATGGCGAATAATCAATCTGTTAGACGACATCTGGATGCTTTTAACCCGAGGGTCGAATCATTGGAAAGTTGGAGGAAGGCCGCAGTGTGACAAGTGCGGCTGCAGAGTTCGGAATTGCTCACAGCATCGTTTCACGACTTTGGAGACAATTTCAAACTACGGAACAGCTATCCGGGGTTTAGTAGTGGTCGTCCACGAGGAACCACACCCGCAGATGACCGGTATATTGCTTACATGGCCAGAAGAAACAGGCGCAAGACAGCGGGAGAACTCGCTAGACACACGACACAGGCGACTGGACGACCGATTCGCGTTTTTAACCGTGGCCAGAAGACTGCACGGTGGTGGTCTGTTGCACGACGCCCTGTACGTGTGTACCCTCGCCTGCCGTCGGAGAAGGCGTTCTCTGTGGTGCCGGGAACACCAATTGGAGAGACAATGAATGGGGACGAGTACTCTTACAGATGAGAGCAATTCAGTCTGAGTAGCGATTCTCATCGCATACTCATCTGGAGAGAGCGCAGAAGCCGCAATCATCCCTCGAACGTCATTGAAAGGGACATTATGGAGGTGGCGGTGTCTCGTTTGGGGAGGCATCATGCTTGGTAGTCGTACAGACCTTCACATCTTCTTCGACGCAGGTTCATCAACGGGACCCGTTATGTAACGAGATTCTTCTTCCATATGTGCGTCTTTTTAGAGGCGGTAGGGTCCGCAGTTCCTTTTCATGGACGACAATGCCCCTGTCATCGCACAGTAGCTGCGAACAGCTCTTAGAGAGTGAGGATATTAACGTATGGATTGGCCGCACGATCTCCGGATCTCATTCCATCGAGCATGTATGGGTTTTCTAGGCAGGCGCTTGGCAGCTCGTACCTTACCACCAGTAACGATTCCGGAGCTTCGATTGGCGCTGCAGACGATGGGCAGCAATGCCTCAACAACTCATTGACACCCTCATTCTCAGCATGGGCAGACGCTGTGAAACCTCCTAGCGGTCAGGGAGATCATATCCCTATTAAACCGATGTTTCTTGCTGACACCCATCACAGGGATGTTTCGGCCTTCAGTCGCATTGCGCTCCATGCTACTTTTCAATAAAGCTTCTTTTTATCCCTCTGATTTCTTTTTAGTAGGTTGCCTTACATTACTCTGTCCTTACGTATGGGGATCTTACGGTATTAAATGTGTTGATTTGGAAAGCTTTTGTACAAAGTTATATTGAAAAAAACCGTCTCGTCCTTAATTTTTGCACACCAGTGTATATACACGCACACATGCATACAAACAGAAAACAGTTATTTAGAAAGTAGATGAAAATACTGCTGTATTAGTTCTTTTGCATTGCAGAAAATTCGAATATATATTATTAGTTGGTGATAAAAATATACTATGCTTACTTAAGTATTTCCAGTATAGCATGAGCTTGATTTACGTCAGATGGAACCGTCCGGAAAAAGTAATCATATTTTTCTTTGTTGCTTAGTGTAGGACTTGTGGATTGGTAACTCACCTGAAACAAAGCAAAGGAAGTTAAAATAACAACATAGTAAGGATTATCTGCTTTTAGAAATATGTCTTAGTACCGAAAGATTTCGTACCAGGCATTTAAATTCTTATATAAAAAAATCTGATGTGTACACCACATGACTTCCTTGTATAGAATATTAAATTATACGCATTTTTTCTTGCATTTCATTAAACGTATAGGATGAATTAAATCTCTTCTCTGACGCGCATAAACCTAATAAATAAATGCATTCTTAAAATTCACTCTTTTCTTTACCATAGCGACACTCTGGCGCTGGTTCATTAACGTATATATTTCGTTCATATTATAACTCAGAGACAAAAATTTGTACATTTAAAGAATATCTAGTCGTTGCCACATGTTTATCAAATACTATTAATAAAGCTAGTGGTGTAAAAAGAATTAAGCAAACAAAAAAAAAGAACGTTTTCACAGACGATGAGTATTCTCATTTAATTAATTAGTTCTTCACATCGCGAGAAGACCAAAATACATAAAAAACTCAAAATATCTCGATTAAAATTACGAAGTAAATCTTCACACTTTTTCTCGAAAAAATTCAGAAAGATTAAGCATGATTAATGGCAATAATAATGATGCTTACTTTGTGTTGCGAAGCTAAGTTTCTCTAATTGGAACAATCCATAGTCTCCTGTTCAAATGTACTCATGGCCGCATTAAAAACAGCTTAGCGGCAATTATTAAACAACTTTAAATTGCTGATAATTCTAAAAATATTCCACCAATTTACGAAAGCATAAAATCCTTAAACGGAAGTAAAAACCATAATTCAATCATTTTTTAAAGCAAAACATGTAAATTACAAACATATAGAGTAAGAAACTGAGACCACTGAGCGGGAACAAGGGATATATATATAAATTACGTTGGCGCGCCGATTGAAACAAAACGAGGTGCACTCACATGTTATAGTAGTCTATATACAAATATCAAGCATGAGGCTACTCGTTTGAGTCATCGAGATACGTTACGTACATACGTCGTAAGACCCACGAAAAATTCTTTCAGAATTGAGTTTAAAGCCGTTTATCATTTTTTTGAAGGAAAGAGTATTTATTCGGCTTTACGTAAGATATCACACAAAAACATCGTTAAATTGCATTCGATAGCTGTCAAAATGGATATTTTCGTTGAAATATGCTGCTTGAAACTTTTCGCGATTACAGTGCTTTCTTTTTACTTCGTACAAGGAAGTAAATCAAAAGAGTTGCATCATGTTTTTTTCCTCCGCAAAGGAAACAACATTTAGAATAAAATGCATTATTTCGGCTAATGACGAGGACAATGATAAAAAGATCTCAAAATATTTTTCGACAATGGTATTTTGCTTTGAAAAAAAAAATAAATAAATGTTTACGAAATAAAGAGTAAAAACTTCAAAGCAAAATTTTTCTATCTATACGATGCGCATCTCGAAACATACGTAAAGGGAAAATAAAGTAACCAATTTGTTCTGCATTTTGAAGACAATTGGACGTTTATAACTTGCAAAATACGAAAATGCTTTGGAATACGTGCATTTCAAAAATATCTTTTAAGATAACTAGAATTAAGGTGTTAACCATGGCAAGAAATATACGTACTACACATTTTTAATAAATTTAAATCGTAGTACGAGTTTATAATAGATGAAATGCACACAAGTCCGATGATAGGTTAATAAAATTTATTTTATCAAAAGAAACACTTCAGAGTTCTGGAACTTTCCACAGAAATACTCGTACAGGTGTTCACAGTATCACACAGTAGAATCAGTGCTTACACTTCAAACTACTAAGAACGTTAAACACAATGCAAGCAAAGCACACCTAAAAGGAGAAGCTTCCAATACTCGGAAGTCACTCTGAACTAAGAACTCACAACAGCTAAGGGCCTGTCAGGCCTTATATATATTTCACTCGGCTGCAGAGATATATATAGTACTTTCTGCTTCTCGAAATTACTGCTTCTCGACATTTTATCGCTCATATGAGAAACGAATACACTTACAGTTACACATGAAATCAATCAAAATACTTATTACGGTGACAGGTGACAGGTGACGGAGGACGGGGACGCCTGATGTTTAACAGAGGTAAACAGGCATATGTCCCGCTCCCTCCCCTATCTAGTGGCAGCAACTCCCAGGAGCCTCATGAGGCGCCACCTCGGGAGTTTATTGAAGAATTTTACGTAATTTTATTACGGTGACACAAAGACCGGACGAAAATGTCGCCAAATGATGGCCAAGATTGAGGACTAGCGATTTCTCGCCACATTTGGCGACAAAAAGTAGTTGCCAAAACCGTTACCAGCTTGGCGATATCTCACCAGAATAGCCAGATAGCCCTTTACACAACACCCCTGTATTCTTATTTTTCCGACTACACATCCTTCCTTTAGATATTCATTTTGCATTATACATCAATTTCAACTACATTTTCAATCAACTACATTAATTTCACATATAATTTCATTAAAATTATCCGTATATGTACAAATTTCGTAACAATGTTAATAAAAGATGTTTAATAATTTCTAATTGAAATAATTAAAAATGAGCTTTATAAAAATGAACTCATATCTTATTAAAAGAATACTTCGAAAATCTAATACATCATTTGGAGAGTCTCATTTTTCTCTGATATACACTGAAGTGACAAAAGTCATGGGATAGCAATATGCAAATATAAAAATGACAGTAGTATCGCGTAGAAAATGTATAAATGCAAAGTGCTTTGGCTGGGCTTTCATTTGTGTTCAAGTAATTCATGTGAAGAGGTTTTGACTTGATTATGGCGGCTCGACGAGAATTAACGACTTTGACGCGAATGGTAGTGGAGCAGCCATGGTCATTCCATTCGGATACGTTAGGGAATTCACCTTCCGAGATCCACAGTGTCAAGGTGTGCGAGGTATCTAATTTCAGGCATAACTCCCACATGGACAGCGAGTGGCGCACCGCCCTACGCCGACGGGCGGTCTGAGTGCTTCATGTTCAAGCAGCCCCTGGTAAATCCCGCAGAAATCAATGTGGACGTCGAGGAGTGTCGATCGCAGTGCGGCGCCATTTTTTCTTGGGTATGCCAGCAGCGAAAACTCGGTGCCTTACTGACAGCCACAGCACCTGACGAATCTGTGGGCTCGTGAGCATATCGGTTGGTCCCTAAACGAAGAAAAACCGTGGTGGTCAGATGAGTCACGATTTCATGGTAAGAGCTGATGGTAGGGTTCGAGGTGGCGCAGACCCCACGAGCCAGGGCCCAAGTGTCAACAGGCACGTCAAGCGGTGTGGTACATAATGGTTGGGCTGTTTTACATGGCATGGGACTGTCCTCTGGTGCAACTGACCGATCATTGATGAACCGGATACCGTCAGCATGGAGATCCTTCACATTATGGATTCAGTACCAACAACGATGGGCTTTCATGGATGACATGCGCATGTCACCCCCATGTTCGCGATGGTAGAAGAACATTCTGGAATTCAGGAATGCTCTGGCCACCTAGATCGCCCGACATGAATCCCATCGTACATTTATGGGACATCGAGAGGTCAATTCGTGCCCAAAACCCTGCACCGTCAACACTTTCACAATTATGGACGTCTATAGAGGCAGCATGGCTCAAATTCCTGCAGGGACTTCCAACGACTTGTTGAGTCCATGCCACGTCGAGTTGCTGCACTATCGCCGGGCAAAAGGAGGACAGACAAAATATTAGGAGGTATCCCATGACTTTTGTCACTTCAGTGTATATGCCGCCCAAACGGGATAATGATAGTGACTCTAAATCCCGTAACCGAGGGCCCGGCTTTGAATCTTGGAGAAGGCATGGAAGTTTGTAAATGTATAGTGTCTGTGCGGTATGGGGGAACACTCAAAATACGAGGTGAGCCGAAAGCGATCTCGAGAATTTAGTGGTAGGAGAAGAGAGATGGGAGATCCTGGGATTAATTCCGCTGGTGTGCTCTTCTTCAAAATTGGAGGTGGAATTGAGCTGTCACTAGTATACCTAGAAATACGTCTACATTAAGGTGATGGTAAGAAATTTATAAGTTATTATTTGAATTCTTTTCGAAAAATTATAAAAAATACTTTTAAATAAAATACAGATTTAAAAAATAAATCAGAAAATATGTGGGAATTTTATTCGGAATGAAACTAAATTTTGAATTGCGAAAGAAGGAATCGAGTTAAGTTAAATAAAAAAAAAAAAAAAAAAAAAAAAAAAAAAAGAGATATTACTAAACATATACCAAATTTAATTTCCATAGAGGAACTGAGATTTTGAGAGATAAGTTTTTAAAATCTTCTCGGGCAATTGTTACAAAATTTGGCACTTTGGTATAGCTTGAGTCAATGTAATCGAAGTATGGGAAAAAATAGGTATTTGTCATTTTAGAAAATCTCAGATTTTGTGTCAGAATACCTATGTTATAACGTTGTCATACATAAATCTAATATATATCCGTCATAATTTCGAGACGTGAAAAACGCGAGTTAAATTTCGTCAATCTTTTTTTTTAGCCCAAGGAGGCTAAAAAGATAGGCATTTTTTAATTTTGTTTTGGCATTTTCTGACGGTTCATTTTACAAATTGTTCCCACTAAATATTAAATCCCTGCATTATATTTAAAGAAATTAAAAAATGAAGAATCTGCATGGAAGTATGTATGTTTCTCGCCCTGTGAATAAACAAAGGTACTCAGAGACACCCAATTTTGAATAACGTAGTCCTCCATTCAATTACGGGCACTTGGAAGCCCAAATTTGGAATCTGTAATTTGTTTTACTATCTATTTCCTATTTTGTCAAACATCAAAGAATTTTTTATTAACAGACTCAACGATTTTAAAGCAAGCAATTGCAACGCAGGACGGAAAAAAAAAATATTTCTATCTATCTTAATATCCGAGAGACTGTGTATCGGAAATTCTAAAGATACGCTCTTTTAAATATTTTGTGACAATGCCGTTGTAT